AGATGACATTGGCTAGTAGACGGGAACCCGGAGGAGGCCTAATCTGTGTGATCTAATGGGTCTTTGGGAGGTAATTGGCAGCATGGACCCACTCCGAAGTCTGGTTTTGAGGAGACTTTATTCCTGGCATCTGGCACTGACTGCTTTCCTGCGACTCACAACAAGGCCAATCTTTCCCAAATAAGCTCCAGATCCCAGGATCAAGGATCCGAAAACACCATACGAAATGGGCCAGCATATTTTGAGGCAAAAATGAAAAGCCTTACACTGGAGGAGACCTGCTGCTTAAAGAATTGTGCATCTTAAGGACACCTCCTATTGCTGTCTTTTCAGGATATGGGAAGGAAGTATAACAAAGAAAAGTGCCATGTGATTATTTTATTATTTTGAAATTATTTATTTTACTGTTTTTTATTGATTTTTCCCATGGGGAAACTAAAGGGCAACTAAAGGTTTCCTTTTCTTAACTGAAAACCCTAGTAGATTAATTTCTTCTGCGCGTTTAGAGGACAACTGGATCCTAGGGAGTTTATTCCAAGGCAAATGGTCAATCTGATCGAATGAACAACTGCACAAAGAACGTTGTTGCTATTTGCTAACATATGGATCCTAGTAAATCTGCTCCAACTAATTTGATGGGAATCAAAAACATAATTCTAAACTGGACAGAGTTTCTGCTACCAACGATTTATAGGCTATTAATGAAGGAACTGAAGTACATCTTTGAGGAAAGGAGGGAAAAGGATGAGGAAGATTCTCTAGCCCGAAGTCAGAAAGAAGCGAGTTGATATTTGCCTGGAGTTTAAAGCGTGGTCAGTCAGGAAAAGTGCTGCTTCCAACTTTGCCCGGCTGTCCATTCCAAATTTGTTAATGCATTTGAAACGAGTTTGGTCCCTTGAGTGGTTATATCTAGAATGCGCTTTTCGGGGTTAAAAAATCCCCATGCTAGCTGCATGAAATGTTACAGTCTTCCTGAGAGTGGAAAGAACAATTAATCTACAAATGAAATCTACAAATGGAAGGAAGAAGGACAACTGGCTACCTATGCAAGGATTTCAGAAGATTCCAATTTGCACCACGAGACATAGTAGGTCCTCCCCACTTCCGCCTCCACCTATCAGGGTTGTGATGATAATATCTTGACACAAGAGCTCTCCAAAGCTTTTGCTCCCTTCAGAAGACCCTAAAATTTGGGAGTGTACAGAGGACACACAATACCATCTTTAGCCAGATCCTCAGATGATCCACCCATAGGGCCATAAGGATAGCAGGAAATCCAATTCTTTCAGCCACGACTTAATTCAGAATCTTGTGTAAATGTAGCTATTTACCTTATTAGCTTCCTGAATCCAGACTCCTTTCTTTGGTTTTACCTGTGCTCAAAAGCAGGATTTCCTGGCTACTCTTGCAGGCCCCTAGACCTTTATCTCCTACTCTAAATCCAAGTGAAGTTATACAGGAACTGGAGCCAAGTTTTGTCTGGTGGTCCTGGTGACTGAAGGGGCAAAATCCTCAATCCCATGAGCCCTGAGCTGCTCAAAGCCTTTCAGGCTACTAAAGCAGGTGTCCCAGAAGCTTTCTAGAAGGAAAATCGAGGCAGCCACTGGGTTTCACTATTCCCACAGGTGCTACATATCCTCCCACATGGCTTAGTTTGCTGTTTTGTCTTCCCCTCCCATTTTTGATACCGTGCAGCCTATAACACACCCCAATTTGTGGACAGAGAGGCTATTTAATCCATCGTTTTCACTTGCCATCTACCAAGAGGCTCCCAGACTTCCTAAGAACATTGCTTGGACTGGTTCTCCATTCACTATTTCTTATTTTTCTGGATTCGTGAATGCGTTTCTTTCCAACAATGTCTAGACTTCTCTTATTAAGTATCTTTTCTTCAGAAGAATCACCATTCCTCCAGCAAGTGCCAAACTGCTGTTTTTCCCTTTGCTACTTCGCCTCCCTCCCCTGTTTACTCTTGCCTACTTATTTCATCAGAAATAAAAACAAACCCCTTATTTTGATTTTGTTACAATAAACGTCAGCACAAAGGAGAAGAAATCTCTGGCTGGAAACTGCGGAGAGAAAGGGTGATGGTTGAAGACTTTTAACTATGAGCCCTCCTTAAATTGGGTCAACAACCCAGTTACTGGGTTCGGATTTAAATTCAAGCCTCTCGAGGTAGACATAACCTTCGGGTCGCAGCCAATAGCCAGGGAAACTAGCAGGTTTGCGAGGTGCCTTGCAATCGGCCCATTTATTTTTTAGAACACAGTCAGCTTGATATTTGGATGGCGACCCAAATGCCCCTAGTCGCCAAATAAAAGAGAAGGAACCCCCGTAAAAGTGAGGCGATCAGCCAGTGATCAAGTAATTCTATGACCGCGGCCTGAAATGTAAGTTTTTCTGGTGGAAACCAAACTCTCTAAACAGTCCGGGAGTGTTCAAACCAAGCGCAGTTTTAGAATTAAAAAACAAAGCAATTGCCAAAAGTTAAACTGATTTTTATAAATTACGGGGACAGTACAAGGAAGGGATGGACTGACAGATATTCACAATTCAGCGGAAGTAAATTGTCATTATTGTTTGCAACTTTCCACCTTAAAAAGGGGGGGGTGGCATTTACTGCGAAATCGGAGAAGGGAAAAAAAGGCACCGAATGACTTCAACATTCCCACCGTAACTTTCTTTTCCCATTCAAAAGCCCGCGTATTAAATTCATAGCAAATATAAAAAAATAATTAGAATCACAACGATTTTAATACAATCAAAAAGTGCTAGAATCAGATTGTTTCCCAAACTGCGGCCCATAACTACGAGAAAGTCAGCCAGGAAACTGGGAGGAAACTCTCCTTATACAGCCGCGGAAAGGTGGTCTGTTGGATTAGACTGAGCGCGCTTGTTTAGGCACTTTCCGATTGCCTCCCAGGCGCTGGACAGGAGAACGGCCCGCTTGGTTTTCCCGAAAAAAAAAAACTCGACTGTTCAGCGAGGCCGGCAGGAGGGGATTGACTCTGCTCCGGCGGCGTTTGGGCAGTTTTGAACAGAGAAAGGAGGACGGTTGAGGCAACGCCAGAAGAGCAGAAGCTGCTGGAAGAACAGATCGGTTCCCGAGTTTTCTCCTACTGCTCTTCTCTGCCTTCCTTGCCTCCTTCCCTTGTTTCTCCTCTCCCTACTCTCCCTCCCTTCATGCTCTGGAGCGGCCGGGATCCGACCCTCATTTGATGCCCCCGGCGGCGGCGGCAGCGCAGGCAGAAAGAGCCCAACCCGGCAGGCAATAATAAGGGTAATAGTAAGAGGGCTGGAAGGAAAAGAGGGAAGGCGGCCGGACCATCTCGTTGGGGTGGTATTGCCTCTGATCATCACGAACTAGCACTTTGACCGCCACTTTCTTGGCCGCCGGCGCGGCGGACAGGAGGTCCGCGGTCAGCTGGCGCCGCTTCGTCTTGTAGCGCCGGTTCTGGAACCAGATTTTCACCTGCGTCTCGGTGAGCTTGAGCGAGGCAGCCAAATCGGCGCGCTCGGGCCCAGAGAGGTAGCGCTGGTGGTTGAAGCGCCTCTCCAGCTCGAAGACCTGCGCGTGGGAAAAGGCCGCCCGCGAGCGCTTTTTGCGCGGTTTCTGGGACGCCGTCGAGGCTGCCACTGGGGCCCGGACGCCCGCTGACATCGCCTCGTCCTCCTCGGAGAGGGCTTTGGAGCCCTGGTCGCCGTGTTTGGCGTCGTCCTCCTCCTCCTCCTCCTCGTCTTCCTCTTCAGGGTGGCTGCCGCCTCCTGAGGAGGGAAAAGAAGACAGACAAGAGTCAGGACAGGAGGCGTCGGAATTTGGGGGCGCCCCTTCAGCCACGCGCCCCGCCTCCCCGGCTTCCCCTCCACCTCGGTTTCTCCACTGGGAGCAGAGAGACTCGGCCTGCAATCGGAGGGCCCCCTTCCGGCTTCCCATTCTGCCCGATCCTGAAGCAGCATTGGGCCTACAGTTCTCCTGCCCCTAAAGCAAACCTCCTTCGAGGTGGAGGCGCCGAATCCAGTCAAGGCCGGTGGTTGTCATCGCTTCTCTACTCTCCTAGGGGTTTGTGACGGATGTCCCACCGGGTTCAGACCCTTCACTATTTTTCTTGGGCTTCTCCCGCGCGGCCACACGCATATCTAAGCCTTTTAAAAACAGAGGTCAACAGTTGCATGGATTACACGTGTAAAACAAAGGATGTTGAACGGGAAAGAGACCCGCATGGGATGGAAATTTGTCTGTCTCAGGGTAAACACTCTTTATTTTGCTTCCTCTCCTTTTTGGTAAAGAAGGGGGGGGGGGTGCAGAAGGCTGCACTTTGGCTGAGAGGGGCGCCCACGAGTTGCCCTGAAAGGGAATGACCCCAAGACAGACTTGAAGACACTGTCTTCGAAATTGGGAAGTAGCACTGTGTTTGATCCAGCCAACATTTGCTCGGGACCGCAGGGAAAGGCAGCCTTTCTCCTTCCTCGTATGACCTGCCTGTACGCGCATCCTGCTGTGGGGCTGAGGGGAGACCGTATCAAGGAAGGAGCGCCACAATCCCTCTGCTAAATCAGGGCGCCAGTCTGTCCAGATAAGGGGTGGGGAAGGGGTGAGCGAAGCGCCACCAAGGAGCAACGAAAAGAAGAGCCTTCACCACAATTCGAAAATTGACATTTCTTAATTTCCCAGCAATCCAACTCTCCTCGCAAACGCGGCCAGGAGCGAATCCTCTGTTAGCGGAGCCGCAAAGCTCCAGTCTGTCCCGCCATTTCCCAATAAGCCGCAGTTCGTAACTTAAATCCAACGGGTTTCAGACTAGATCCCGTACTTCCCAGTTCCAAGGCTTCTTTTGGCTTCAAAATCTCACCCCGGGCTCACGGGATCTCAGCCGAGCGGCAGTCGAGCCTCTAGAGGCAGGAGCTGTAGAAAGTAAGCTAGAAATCACCCTTCTAAGTGTTTTTGCCTCAGGTTCGTTTGCCGGAACCGGCAAGGCGCGTCACTCCCACCAGCGAACCAGGTCTCACCCTGGCTTGGTTTCGACAGGTGGAGCGAAGCATGTTTAGTTCAAAGATCAGACCCTTCTGGTGTGCTAAAAGTGAGAAGAAAAGCAGCTCAACTTTGCGTGCTGGTCTCCGGATTCCTAAGGGTAGAAAACTTCTCCGTTCGAGCCCTTCGCTTCTGGGCCTCTCTGGCGCTTCTCTTTGTACATGCTGGGCTTCCCTGGGGACGCATCCTTGGTTCCCCTCTGTCAGGTTCTCCAAATGGAGCGGCGGGCAGAAATGAAAGCTCTTCCCTGCAGCCTAGAAAAGTCGAAGAGGGCAGGCGACGCCTCTTTTCCTCCCGCCCCGCATAAGTCTTTGCTCGGCCCAAGCGGAAAAACTGCCAGGGGAGATGCCATCCAGCAATCGGCACCCTCCTACTCCCCACCTCCCGCCCGTTTACTGAAGCCGCCCCGGGATCCATTTCAGGCCCGGCGGGTTTATTGAAGCCGCCCCGGGATCCAGCTAGTCTGGAGAAGGCCAAGCTCGTTTGCTGCATTTGCCACTGCGAGGCCGGCGACTGGGAGAGAAGCGGGGGAAACGAATTCTGCCTGGAAAGGGAGAGGATGTGGAGGAGGACGGGGCCCTTCTTTGCCTCTAGTAACGAGGCTTCACGCGATCCATTTCCTGTAGAGAAACATCCTCTATTAGGTTCGAGCTGTCTTTCCCGAGCTCAGCGAGGCCTTTGTCCATCCGAAGTCCCATAACACTGCGTCGGAGATGAGTCTTCGGGGCTCCGCAATCACGGCAGCCAGCCAGAACTCGGAACTGTTTTCTGAACTCGGAGAGCGACGACGAGAGTGCAATTAGCAGCATGCTTCGAGAGGGTTAAGTGGGCTCCCCCACTGGCCTGGCGTCTCCCCCTGTTTGCACCCTAGTCGGCCGCTTCTCAGGCCCAGCCGAACAGCTGGGAGAGCGGCCCTCCGCTTCCGCCACCCGTTTCCCGGCTGCCTTTTCTTGATTAGAACGGGTTCCTCCCGAAGGGACACGCAGGTAGGAAAAGCAACAACGGCTTAAGGGCTTTGCGGTTGTTTTTTTCCCGCCAGGCCCGGCAAGCGCTGCCTTTGAAACCCAGAACTGGAAGCAGGGCGAGACTCCAGATTGCCAGCCCTGGCTGAAGGTGACGCCGCTGCCCCTCGAAAGGTGGCCTTCTAGCGGTGACCCACTGGCCAGAACGCTTCGTTTTCGGAGGATTCCCGGAAGGCAGCGCGGGATCGTCCGCTCTCTCTAAGAGAGGAGCCCCCTCTACTCTCCCCAATCCGAGCTTTACACCCTCGAGATCTCCGGGTGAGCAGGAGCACGACTTTCGCCCCCTACCTGGCTTTGTCTCCCACCGGCATCGTCCCGCTCCACAGTCCTCCCTTGATCGCTCCGAAGGGACCCGGCTCACCTGTTGTCCCTCGGCCCGGGGGACGGCTTTCCGGGGATGGAGGAGGGTGGCCTTGCTCGGTGCTGATTCTTCCCGCGTGGGATTGGGCTCTGCCCTGACCGTGCAGCCTCTCTCGGGGTCTTCGGGAGTCAGCGGGCACGGGGCCCTCTCTGCTGCTAGGTTCCTGTTCGTCGTGGTCCTCCCTGTCGCCGTCGTGCTCCTCGCTCAGGACAGAGTCCGAGTCCCAGATGGGTGGCCGGGCAGCCGCGAGGTCAGAGCGCTGCTGCTCCTGGCGTGTTGGCGGCTGGGGCGGCTGGAGCACGGGGCCCAGAGTGGTGGCCTCCGGGTCAAAGAGACGCCAGCAACAGGCGGATGTACCCTCGGGACCGGGCAGGAGTATCGGCGGGCAGGGACGGGTGGCAGCTACGACTCGCACGGCGCCCACTTCCTTCTTGGTGAGGAGGGCTTGGATGGAAAAAGGCGTCGGGGCCAGGCTAGCATTGCGCCGGGCCATGGCTGGGCCGGCTGCTCGTCTGGCGCCTCGGGCAGCAGCGGGAGGTCTACCTTCAGTTGGACGCTGCCCTCTGCGCCCCCAGGCCCGTTGCGCGCTGTTCCCATAAAGAGCCCAGCCGTCGCCAACCTGCTGAGACGCTCCTTTGGCCAGGCAGCTCCCGACTCCGACCCACACCGCGCCTCTGCGTGCTCGCTGGCTTTCGGTCGCTTTTTGCAGCCCACCCAGCTGTCAGTCCAGCGGTGGAGCGCCAGAGCCGAGGCCAGGGCCGGCCTTTCCTCGTGGGTGGGGCTCGTCCCGTGCGGCGCGTTCATTGGCTGCGCTACTTTTCCGGCCCGCGGGAGACTTCGGCTCTGGAGCGGTCGCCTTAACCCTTTCCCGTGCGAAGGGTTTTCCTGCCCGAGAAAGAGCTTCTGATAGGGAAGGAAGGGAAATTCTTCGAGGGCAGCCCTTCTCCTTTTGTACGCCTCTCCCGAGTCAGCAGGATACATCTTCGGCCTTTTTAGGATAGTTAAGCTCAAACCCCATCTGGGGCAACCGACAGGTAAAGCTGTTGCTGAATCAGAGACTTTTTCTGCCCAAGCCTTTGAGGCGGTGGCCATATAAAAAAAATCTGGGACCGTATTAGAAAATCTGAGCACTGACAAAATTTCCATTTGTTAATTGCAAAAGGCCACATGCTTGGATCCATACATATCAAACCGATAAATTAATTTCCTAGGATCTAGGTTCTTGGGAAGAACCTGATACCTATGAAGGCCAGCGCCATCTAAAGAACTGGCAGCTGTGATGGCACATTGTTGTGAACAGAGAATAGTTCGAGAATTTATAATGACGACTGCTTCGTTATTTTTCCTTTAATCAAAATGCTGAAATCGAGAGTCCATCTTCTCTGCCTGGAATGAAATGAAAAAGAACATATATTTCTACTGTTTATTCTGCCTCTGAAACACATTCAAAGATAGCGAAGATTTTACTATCTAATATGATGATGTTGCCAGAGCTTGTCTTTTGACGCTTGAGAATTTGTAAGACTGAAACTCGAAGAGAGAATTAAGGGTGCATTTTCTTCTCAACCTAGAAAATGCATTTTGAAAGTTCTTCAAAACAAAACTAGGCGAAGTTCCATATTTTTGTCAGTTCGAATCAATTCTATGCAGGGTTTTGATTGCAGCAGAAAACTTAGACGTTTCTAGGGGGAAAAAACTCTGCCATGTCCTTTGCCAGACTGGTGCCTACGCTTTTCATATCTGATTCCTCAGCGCTTTATGCAGAACAAGTTTGTCAATTTATTTATTCAAAAATATTCTCAGCGCGAGTGCTTGGTGTATAAATTGTGAACGAATAAATTTTATACACAAAAAAATTTGAACAAATTCGGAACAAAATTAAAATGATTTGCCTTAGCGTGTGTGTGGCTAATAGTATCCAATATTTATCATTATGGATAATGTCACACATTTGCTGTATGTTTTAGGGTTGCAGAGTGAAATGAACAGATGGCCTGTATGTGTATACCTATATACGGAATAGACTATGGGAAAAATATCAGTTCTCCAAATAGAAAGGTAGGGGTTTAATAACCTCAAAGGGATCTGGGCAACTAGGAATTAGTAGAAGTTTTAACACACACACACACCGCATCCTCTCTCGAAATTCACAAAAGAAACTGGGGCGGGGATGGGGAGAAAAGTGGGACAGATGGGACACATTTCTTAAGCGAGTTGCTTAGGATACTAGAGTCTGGGGGTTACTTGGGGATGAAAACGCTGCTCCTGCGCCTTTCTTTAAGGCAGGAACGACTCAGATGTGCCACCGTATGTGTTAAGACGCGTTCCTCAGAATAAATAGGCCGAGATATTTTCTAATTTCTATGAATGTATCTTTAGTCCACTGAACGTTTGCAACGGTTTTAATAAACAAGTCAGAACTCCCGTGGAATCAGTACTATCTTCAAGTCGGGTGTTCCTTGAAACACCGTGTGAATTTTGAATCCCCGAGTGAAATTTCTGCAACCTCCGAATTCCCCTGCACGGGGATACAAATTATGAAATTTGTAGACACCACTTGTCTACAAATCGACTTGTCTACAAGAGACACGACTTGTGTCTCTTGTTCCTTGACTATTGGGAGCAAGACCTTTTCCTATAGCCGGGAGTTCCCTCTGCTTCGCCCGCGAGGCTCCCAGAGAACTCACTGGGCTATGGGGCGTCTAGATCTGGCAAGGAGGAAAGAGCTGAACCGGGAAGCCCCGGATTTCGCCCCCCCGCAGCCAAGTCCCTACCCTTTCCATCAGTGTCCAGGTGCTCCTGCTAATTGCGCCACAGGAAGGGTGCCCGCAGCTAAAAGCCCGGTCTCCCCAGCGGAGGAGACAAAGGGCGCGTGCAGTCGCAGTCCGACTCCGACACCGTTTCTACCGGCCGAGACTGTGCCGGGGGAAAAGAGCCGTCGAGTCCCGATGGAGCTAGGGCAAGGAACGGGCCTTCTCAGCTCCGCCAACTTCTGTTTGCCCCTGAGCTGGGAAGAAGCCGGACTGGCCGGCACCGGAGGGAAAAAAAGAGGCTTTCCAGGCGTGCAGCCCCGGTGGCGAGCGGAGGGAAGGCGGCTTAGCGCAGGAGGCTAGGGTTGCGTTCGCCAGGTCTAGAAGGACGGCAAGGGCTCTGGGTTGGAGCCCCGGGGCCTCTCACTGCCGAGCAGCAGTCTGAGTCCTCCGCCCGTGGAACTTCGCCGCGGACCCGCCAACCAGCAAAGGCTCAAACAAGCAAAGGCAGTTTGAGCCCAGCTGCTCAGAGGAGGCCGCGAGCGAGTTGGCTGAAAGAGCACGAAGGCTGCTCTTTCTGCGCCGCGGCGGATCGGCCTGGAAACGGGAAGGGCCCTTTTTTTGCTGAGCAGCTGCGCCTCCCCTAGTTTGGCTGTGAGAGCAGAGCAGGAAGGCCTCGGGACAGAAGATGCCGCTACTGACCGCCCCGAGATCTCCTTTCCTGTACTGGCGCCACGTGACCAACCTGGGCTGCAAGCCACAATTAAACCACCTTTCAATCGATTCAGGCCCCGGGAAAGGTGCCTGCGAGCCCAGTCCGCGAATGAAGGGGATGTTCAGAGCAGGAGGCTGAGGGTGTGTGTCGGGGAACTCCCCAAGAAGCCTCCCCCGGGCGGAAAAAGAGTGAAGGAGGCGTCAGGATGCCAGTTCCGGGCGGAAAGAGGCCTCGGCTGGGTTTTCTCACCGCCTCCAACGTTCAGAGTTGCGGCGTTCAAGGTTCTCCCGGCGAAGGCAGCGCTCGGATTTCCGTCCCCGTCGCCTTTGCAGGGATCGAACCCAAGAATCTTGGCGGTGGCGTGGACGCCACCCGAAGACAAACGGGAGAGGCAGAGAACGGCGCTCCTCTCACCCTTTCCCTCGGTGGCCACCGGCTCTTCCTGGCGAGCTCTAGTGAGAGCAGGCAGAGCAGAAGCAGCCGGGGAGTGCCTTTGCGAGCAGGGAGCAACCTGGACTGAACGGAGATGCGCATTCCGGGGGTCTTAGCAGCGCATTCCGGGGGTCTTAGCGGGAGCGCCAAAGAGGCTAGAAGAAGCGCGGCGCTCCTTGTCGGGATAAGAGGCAGCAAGCTGCTCCGAGACCGGCGAATACTGCCGTTTAGAGTGCCCCAAATTCATCTCTGTATCCCAAACCCGTCTCTATCTCTGCCAAGTTCGGTCCGCAGATTCACCTTGTTGGCGACAGGTACCGTCCATGGATTTGTTGACTGCCCTAGCTGCAGTCTCCCCTGGAATGGGAATCTGAGCTTGCTTAGAGACATTGAAATGATGGGGAAATGGTGGTCGACCATTGGGTAGCATCAAGTCTTTCTGGTTCCTTTGTGAGAAACAATTTGCTGTTATTCTTGGGTCGAGATTCATTTCTAGGCATTTGTTGCTGGTCGCTTATGCTACATAACAATAAGAAATGGAATCTCCTTTTTTTGTAGAGGTTCCTTCTCAGACAATTGATAGTAGAATCAGTACACTCTACATGCCCTCCAGCTGGTGAACAAGTCACAATTGCTGGGCTCATAAAAAATATTTGGTAATAAGACATTTCAATTCTTAACATGTTAGAATTGCCTGGTTCCAGGAAGCAACTGTCCTTTGGGTTGGGATGACAGATCTGTGTTCTGCTTTATTTCAAGCCAAGTGGCATAAATAGTAACCCCCCCCCCCCCACTTTCATTGCTCTCCTGACTGGGATGGACCTTCAGTCTGCACCTCTCTGGCTGCCTCCAAGCCTTCAGTCAACGTTTTCAGCTAGTTAACAAAACTACAGTTCCAGAATCTCTCCACCATTTCTGCCCCCCCCCCCTCTCTCACACACACTAACTCCAAGGAAAGATTGAAGGCAAACAAGGTCCAGGCAGAAGAACATCATCATAGCTTCAAAATCTAAGGGACTGGCTTGGACAAAATTCAACAGCATTTTATTTTGCACCTGTTGATAAAAACAGGATCACCAACGTCCGATGACGGATATGGCACAAGGAGAAGTGGCTTATATCCTTTTCAAAAAGTCAGAGATAAGATACAAATATGATATAATGAAGTGTGAAGTGACCTTACACAGTACCGACAAGTTACCAAGAGAAATGATGAGTACTAAGAACAAAACCATTCAAGTTGAACTTCAGCTGCTCAAGGGCTACTAATCTTTCCTTCTCCAAGTTCCTCTGGTTAGCCTTTTTTTCCTGGTGAGAACAGAGAGTGGGGGAGGTTCTTCTGTTGCAGTGGGCCCAAATTGATCCAGAATCATAAATATGGAGCTGGCTTTCTCCCCTTTCAAAAGCAATCTGGTTGCTTGCACAATGTGTAGGTTTCCTGGGCTTTGCTCTGCCTTGTCAGATTTGGGTTGTCTAAACATCTTCAATAATTTTCTGCTACGTCATCATCACAGCCCAGTATTTATCACTTTACACTGAACAGTAGGTGCTAGGTGCTGGGTTGAGTCAGCTTAAAGAGATCCTTCTGGAACCTTCACAGGCATTTGGATTTCCTTACCCTGAACAGTTTCATATCATCTGCCCAGCTCACTGGCTTCCACTAAATGAAATTCATTTGTGAACTAGTAAACAAAATATCATCCCCAAACATATTCTGAAAGATGCCTTTTCTTATCTTCTTTCAAGTTATGTTTGCCTTTTGTTTTCAGCTATTTGGCATTCTACAAGAGGATAGCTCCTCCTATCCCTTGGCATATACATTTTTTCAAGACATGGAACTTGGTCAAAAATATTTTTAAAATCCAGATATGTAGACAGTAGATAAATAGTAACACAGATTTCCACTAGCAGAATTTGTGTTGATTTCCCTTCAGAAGGCCTTGTAGTTAACTATTTATTTTTTCATTACAGTGTCTACCAGCTGTCTTAGAAAAAAATAAGCTGACTGGTTTAGAATTGTTTAGGTGTCTCCTAATTGGGATCTCCTTGCCTTCCTTCCAGGACTTTGGCACTGGAACTGATCTGAAAGAGAAGTGACATAGTCAGAGGTCCCCAATGTCACACCTGAGGTTTTCTTAAGAACCAATCAGGATGCAGTGATTTTTTTGTTGCTGTCAAGCTGTTCTGGGGCATCATCTCCTGGTATTTCAATTTGGTTTTGTTCTAATAAAGTCAATTCAAGTTCAGGATCTCTTCTATGTCATCTGTAACAAAGGAAATATAAAGAATTAGAATTCTCTGAAATTCCATATCCTTCTTGAACACCCTTCTCATCTCTTTTTGGTTTCCAGCTTCATGTGCTTAAGCAAATTCTTAATGGTCCCATTTGTGCTTTTTGCCATATACTTCTCAAATAACTTTTTTTCTCGAGTCTTTTCCATTAATATATGTATGCTAAAGACATTGCTGCTTCTCAGTTATGTATATTTTTATGAAAAGGGTGCTGTGGGAAACAACCTATAATAGTCGGCGTGAGCTTAAATGGACTCCAGAGGATGGTAGAGGACAGGAAGACCTGGAGGAACGTTGTCCATGGGGTCACGATGGGTCGGGCATGATTTTGCAACTAACAACAACATATGCAACAATTTGCAATTTTCTCTCCAATTTTCTGACCAGAAACCCAGGCATTTTGGAGATGCTGAAGCATGAAAACCCAGCACATTTATTTAGAAGAGTGAAGAGAAACCAAAGACAAGATTTGTACTTTCTCATGTATTCATTTTACAGTAAACCACAACTCCCAAATCTTTTAAACCAAAACAGGTTGAACGGATTGTTATTTATTTATTTATTTTACTGTTGCTTGGTGGCTCAAATGTTTGGGACACTTGGCAGGAGGTTAGCATTTGAGACCGGATAGCTGCTGTGGGGTAGGTTTGAGCTCTTATCCATCACATGAAAGTAGCCTCCAACTGGGTGTCCCCAGGACAGCAGTGATATCACTGGCTAATCCTTTCAACTTGGACACACCTCGGTGCTTCTGACACAAGTGCAAAAAAATGTATTTTACTGGCTGAAGTTTGCTAATTTCATTCTTAGTTTTCAGGAAAAAAGCATCTCTAAACAGGAAACTTGTATTTCAAGGGAGAAAACATGACGGTATCTCAATGCATAGGGAATTTGAAGTAGTTCACACAATCTCCCACACCCCGTTCCTTGGCACCTTTTAAGAATGGCCCTATTCCATCAGCTTCTTACCCTACTTGCTTGCTAATGCTTTCCATCATATGGAAGGCGTTTCAAATTCTACATTGTTTCTACATTGGTATAAGAGGGGACAAAGGGAAATTCTGGCAGACTTTCAAAATCCTGTTATTCTACCTGACAACAAGAAGTTATTCTGCCTGACCACAACACAGTTGTTTCTGTGGTGGCTGTTTTCTGACTGGCCTACCTTGAAAGGCTGATGGATACAGATAAAAACATCACAATCCATTTCTGACCTTCAACCTTCAGCCAAGAATTTTCCAGGCCAGTCCTTCATTTCAAAGTTTATGTTGGTAGGGAATGACTCTCAAGAGAATGTGAGTTTTCAGTGGGAAGGTGAGTGATAGTATGCATCATGAGTTTATTGTACTACAAACATGTAAAAAGTGATTAAAAATACTGCTCAGAGTCGCTGGGATCTGATCCTGTGGGACAGATTCAGCAATTGCTGTTAAAATAACTTCTAATAAAGAAAGCACTATTTTTATTTGTTTTATTTAACTAGGAATCCATTTTTCCTGCGATGTTAACAGTACTTGTAGTACTATCAGTGGCACTTGACAGAATACAATTCATTTTCCATTGCTAATGAATATCAGATAATGAACCTTCTATGTAAAAGAAGGCAACAACCTTTGGGGGAAGGCTTTTCTGTGCAAAAAGGGGGAGGGGACAGGATCTCTGGCTGCTCCCTTCCTCCACCATCCCTGCAACAGAGCTTGTGACAGTATTTGCACCAGGAAGCGAGGCTTCACAATTTGGAGGAGGGAGGAAGGAGTGGTTTTTTTCAACTATGAAGACTTGCAATCTTTCCTGCTTTTGCATCATGCAAGACAACAACTATGACGGTCAATTGAAACCTTTGAGTCTTTCTCTACCCAATAAGTTGGAATTAATGATAAAAAATATCCATATAAAATTGTTAACAGTTTTGATCTGTCATAATTAAAAATAGAAAAGGATTGAAAAAAAATTATCTGAAATGTAGGGGCATCCACAGAATAGATCAAAAATATCAAAATGGCAGCCACAACAATGTGATTGAAGCTTTGCACATAAAAATCAGGCAACCTTTTGACTGTGCAATCATGGCCACCATTTTGATTTTGGTTGCATCCTACAGACCTCCCTAGGAACATGATTGACTCCATGCTGTAACTTCTATTTCATGAGCCCAATCCAAAACAAAGCACCATTAAATTGCTGGGCTGAGAGCACCAGAGATTTCAGCTTGTGTTTAACTTGCATAAATATCAGCAAGATTCAGAAATGTTCAGGGTGACAATCTTTGAGTATAGACTAGAAATACATGCAAAAAATCTAGCAATTCAAGTGCCGAGACTCTAGTTTGGAAACATTTTGTAATTTATATATAAAAATTCCATAAGAAACAAACTAGAATATTTGACAGAAATATCCACATTACAACAAAAGATCCCCAAACAACAACTACAACAAAAAATTAAAAATCAATGTTGTTTTTTTAGTTATAAAAGATGAATATGAACATTTTAAAATAATCTCATAATATTTGGCAACTTACATCTTTGCAAGAGACAAGTGCAATTAACAATAAAAAAGCTTTACATGGAACTCAAATTGAAGATTTGTCCTTGAGAGAGTAAAATGCGAGTCTACTAAAAATTTGGACAACTAGCCAGATTCTACGCCCTTCTTTAATACTAGTGGATAAAGTATGCATGTTGCCAATCTTTTCAGTCCTTTTGTTTTCCATTTTTCTATGGAGAAGCAAAAGCCCTGGAAGAAGAACAATTAAGCGCTCCATAGAAAGGTGATGTGCTCTTCAGTCGAAAACTCTTCTTGTACTATGTTCCCGCTGGGACACTGGGAGAAATTTTACAAGTGAGAATACATTTCCAAAGGAAAGGGCACGTCAAACTCAACACTGTAGAAATGTCACTCTTAACTCTTAGCATAGAGAAAGTTACAAACACAACAAGGGAAGTAACAAAGCTCTCCTTATGCCTATCTACTTGACCCGAACATATGAGAAGGTTCTGAGCCAAATTCGTTTCGTACTTCCTTTTCCTAGTCCTACCCAGCACTAAGCATGGCAGCACAACATTTAATAATCCAGTTAAAACAATATACTATACCACCAGGTGTTGCGGTTCAACACAGTGTTCTCATTATGTTCATACACAGTAAAATACAATCTTTTTTTTTTTAAATAAATGTTCTATATACAAAAGGTGTTAAGAAGCCACTAGTGAAGAGTGGTTTGGAAGCATCAGCAAATTCCTCCTGGACACAAAGAAACTTATCTAATTCATATCATCTTTTTCCATAAACAAATAGTTCATGAAGCTGTTTAAAATATTACATGTGTATTAATGTTACATCTTGGAAATACACACATGCAGCTCACCCAAGCTTTACAGAGCACAGAATGTTCCCTCCCACCCTGAATCCCAAGTGACATGGGTTCCAACTATCGCTTGGACTTTTTCACGTCAGTCTCATCAGCCCTCTGGTGATCCTTCTTATGTGACACTGGGGGGCTCGCTTCCCTTCTGCGCTTGATGGGTTGAAATTTTGATCTGAAAGTATCAAAACGAACAAAAAAGGGGTAATTATTTTTAGTAATCATGGAATCCAGTGACTTTGATCAAACTAGGCCCATAACCTGCTTTGGGAGAGACTGTCCCCAACAATGCCATTGTTGGGATAATGGCTAAATTGGGAACCAAGAGAATTTAGTGCTAAGCTGCTATTCCCCTCTACCTCTTTTTGTCCACCTGATGAGGCTTGTTTGGCTGCTCCTCATCATCAAGAACATCTTTGGAAAAGTGTCTGCTGCCATTTTTTGTCCCTGGCCATCTTGACTCCCTGCGATTATCTCATTTCTACCATGGCAACCTACGCGATTCACAGTCAAGACTTGGATGAAGAACTCCAGGCCTTTCCACTGACAGATCCCAAACATATGGATGACTCCCTCTATTCTTCCCATCAGACCTCCTTGATCTCGGAGTCCTATAAAACACTGAATTATTCAATGAGGGTTCTGCTTAAATACGCCAGCTTCCATTTTTCAACTAAATAAAATGGTATGACATATTGTTATGATTACACTTGCTTACTGACATTGTATTTATGAATTGCCTCAATTATAAGAGACTCTGGAGACTGCATATACCTGCCATCATTTCTCTTTAGCTTAATGATTACAATTACATTTAGATTCAATCAATCAGAATAGAGCTGGAAGGGACCTTGGAGGTCTTCTAATCAAATCCTCTGCTCAAGCAGGAGACCCTATACCAGTGATGGCTAACCTTTTTTGGATCGCGTGCCAAAAGCGGGGGGAGCGCAGGGGGGGGTGTCGTGCGCTGACGTGCCATACCCATAATGCTACATGCATGACCATAGTGCCATTTTTTGCCCTCCAGAGCCTTCAGGAGGCTTCCCTGAAGCCTCCGGAGGGCAAAAAATGGCTGAACAAGGTGGCTGAAGTCAGCTGGCATGCCCTAACAAATGGCTCCACGTGCCACCTGTGGTATGCGTGCCATAGGTTCGCCATCACGGCCCTATACCATTTCAGACAAGTGGCTGTCCAGTCTCTTTTTAAAAACCTCCAGTGATGAAGCGCCCACAACTTCTGAGGGTAAGCTGTTCCACAGGTCAGTTGTTCTCCCTGTTAGGAAGTTTCTCCTTATTTCCAGGTTGTTTCTTTCTTGATTAGGGTTTCTTATGTCTTGTTTTGCCTTCTGGTGCTTCTTTGTGGCAACCCTGGAATATTGTTATGATGTAACCCACAGTCTTTCTTTTCTCTAGACTAGCCATATCCAATTCCTGCAGCCATTCTTCATATGATTTAGTCTCCAGGCCTTTAATCATCTTAGTTACTCTTCTCTGCAATTTTTCCAAAGTCTCAATGTTCTTTTTATAAAGTGGTGACAAAAACTGGATGCAGTCTTCCAGTATTTTTGCCTTACTAAAGGCAAGTACTAATACATAGAATTAGCGGTACTAATTATAAAGTGGTACTAATACCTAGATTTTGATGCTATGCCTCTGTTTACACAAGCAAGGTTTATATTAGCTATTTTGGCTGCCGCCGCACACTGCTGGCTCATATTTAAGTGATCATCCACTAGGACTCAAAGGTCCCTCTCACAGTTACTGGTTTTGAGCCAGGTTTTGCCTGATCTGTACTTGTACCTTTGGTTTTTCCTGCCTAACTGTAAAACCTTGCTTTTCTCCACATTAAATTTCATTTTGTTGGACAGGGCCCATTGTTCAAGTCTGTCAAGAACTTTTCTGATCCTGAGCACTACAGATTCATGCACATGACAATTTGATACCTGGCTGAGCCATGAAATACTTGTCTTAAATAGCTTATTTCCTTTTTCTATGGATCCTTCTTTGTTTTTGGCTAGCATGAGAAAGTATCTTCCATGGTCAATCTTCCAAAGTTATTTGGGTGTCTGGCATTTCCTGTGGTCAATACCACCTTCATCTTAAAATGAGTTCTGGACTGCCACATGCTTGCCAACAAGTGTTTCTACTCCATAAGGCTGCTCCAGAGAAATACAGATGCTGTGATTTTTGGGTTTCGAACTATGATATTATAAAAGTAAATAAACTGTATTGAAGCAAAGTAGAAGCTCATATTTTACATGTTACCCTCAAAATTTTGGTAAATGCTGGAAGCTATCTTTTAAGCAAATAACAGAGAAGTCCCTGTCAAATCATATCTGATATTCAGTAATGGACAGCCAGATGCTTCTAGAGCGTAACAGAAATAAACTGTTAACTCTCGAAATGACTCTAGTTGAAGTAATATTTTTCTTGCTTCGTTTCTTAGTTGCCATACTTATGGGAAGGGAGGGGGACGTATGGAATGTAGAATATTTCCCTCCAATGTGCCAGACATAACAAAGATAAGTCTACTGAGAACCAAGGCCGGATCAATGTGCCCTAGTAATGGCAGGAAGGAGTGCTGAGAGGTTCATCATTTGTTTGGTTGGCTAATGTGATCTGTGACACAAGGAGGGTGGTGAGTATCTATTCTTTAATTGTACTGAAACGGGAATTATTCAGTGTTGGTTTCACATTTGACCGTGCCAATATGTTGTACCCAATAAACAGGATTTTTGAGGAAGCCAAGGCCTCAGAGACTTGAATTGGTTAGGAGCATTACTTGGAACCATGACAGGACTCATGTCCTGTAGTTATCCCACCAATACTGTGGCATCACTTTGGGTAGTAATGATCAAACAAATGGAAGGAGGAGAATCTCAAGATATTTTTCTTTCCACTTACTGGGCCAAGCGAGGATCTTTGTTCACTTTTGCAGTGGCAGATGACTGCTTCTTCTTTGCTAATTTTCGACGTTTTTTAGGAAGAGCTGAGGATGGACTCTGGCTTTTCGATGAGGCTCGGGTTGTTGGCTTGTTTGGCTGCTTCCTGAAAAAAATAAGTACAAATATCGAAGAAGGAGCTTTTCTAGGACCAGGTAAGACGATCAATTAAAAGTATAATTCCAAAAATGGGAGCTTGGGAGAATCTATAATGTTCCCACACTCTTTATTTAAAAACATCTTACTTCAATGAGAGGGAGAGAGAGGGGGATGGGAGGGAGAGGCAAAGAGAGATGAGGTTGACATTTTAAAGTGAGAAAAATGTAATGGTGTGTGTATGGATCACTTCTAGGTTTTTTAGATGCAAAACAAAATAATAAGTTGGTGGTTTTGTGTAGTGATTTTACAGATCATTAAGAAATAAATGAATCTCTCTTATTTTACATTTAGATGAAGGAAACTGAGGAGATTTCTGGAGTGTCAATTAAATTTCTAAAACACCAGATCTATCAATATAATATGATAGAAAAAGAGAACTGGTGGTTTCATTTCAAGAATTGCCATCAAGGAAGGGTGCCTCACTGTTGGTGAGCCTCCTTCTGTAAATACAGGAAGGGATGTGGCTACAGATGTCCTGTTCTAAGAAACACTAGCAAAAAAGGACATAAAAAACATATAAAAAATGTCTGATCCCCTGAATAACGTCCATTGTTACATCTTGTTTTAACAGAAGCAGCTATTACAATCATAGAGTAATAGAATAGCAGCATTGGAAGGGACCTTGGAGACCTTTTAGTCCAACCTCCTGCTCAAGCAGGAAACTCTATGCCCTTCCAGAGAAGTGGATATCCAGTCTCTTCTTAAAAGCCTACAGTGATAGACTTCTGGATAGGAGTTGTGGTGAGATAGTTGGAGGTAGCGGGGCTCCACAAACATCAACTGATTCTTCTCCGATAGGAGGTCCTAAGGGGCCAAAGCACCCTGGAGGGGCGATGAAAAAAGGAGGGATTCCTTGTCGATTGCAGGAGAGCGGCAGCTCTCCTGCTAGATCCGAGGCGCCCGCCCAACCGACGGAGAAACAAGCTGGAGCAGTGTGTGAACAGAGGATTGGAACTGGGTGAGACAATTTTCAAATTTTTTATTAGAGACTCACCCTAAGTAAAAGAATTTTTGAAAGACTCCAAAGCTCAGGAAGCAGTGAATTAATACATGGAGATAAATTATAGATCCAAAAGAGAAATGAAATTTTAATGGAGGAATATGAAGTTTCAAAATATAGAAAGACTGAACTGGAATTTGTGGTTGCTATGAAAAATGATTTTAATTTGTTGTAAATATTCTTTGACTGCTGGAAGAAATTATATAAAGAATTTTTTTTCTTTTGTTGAACTTTGACAATCAGCTGTTAGAGCTTCCACCTTGTTTTGGTACCAAAACGTAGAGTTGGAACGCCATCTACTGGCCAAAGAAGACACTATATTATTGTATGGCTGGAAAGGACCTTGAAAAAAAGAAGTTAGGGCTGATAAAAAAGAAAGGAAAGTCAGGATTTGGCAACTTCAACTCCCTCTATTATTTTTTCACTTTTAAATAAGAATTAGGTCTAGAATAGCAGGCCCTCTATCTTTTTGATGACAAAGTTGTCAGTTATGTGGGTCAGGAACCTTAAGGTTCTTTCATGGACAATGCACCTAATTATGTATTTATAAGTTTTCTTGATTGCAAATATCTGATTTCCAGACTGATTGTGGAGCCAAGACTTCAGACTATTGATAATAGAGAGGAAGTGTAATATTCAGGGGTATTATTAACAGTATCTTCAGTTCTGATGAAATGCAGATTTTTAAGAAAGATGGGAGACCACAGCTGTGCTTTCGAGACACTAAAAATCATCTCATTTTTGATGATGTTTAAAAACTGCATGAAATTACTGGTTTAAGCCACTAGATTTAGATTTTTGCTTATGTGCTGGTGATGCCCAGTCCCCTGGTTAGTCACTATCGTTTACCCTGGGGTGACAGAAGTTCTGACTTGGAATCTGGATCATTTTATGATTAGATGAAAGTAAAGAAATTTTACATTAATCTGTATAAATTGGAGATCTATTGGCTGGATCATTGGATAACTGTGATTCGATATACACTTGCCACACTTCATTCCTTCCTTCCTTCATTCACTGCCCATCTTGCAATTCAGGTGGCTCTAAGGGGCTTATCTCAAGATAAAACAATGTATCACAAATAAAATATAAAATGGATTAAAATGCACCAAATTTGCAGATGTTAGGATGGTTCTAATTTTATTCACATGCAGAGAAGTCTATAGGAAAGGGGTAAAAAAGTCAAGATGATGACCATAACGACGACATGAAAGCCTTATTCCTTTTGTATATGTGACATATATAAAAAAAGACTGATGCTTCAACTACATACTTGTGATTGCCATTTGAACTTTAATAAGTATACCCTTATTCATATGGTAACTGTAGCCAGAAATCCTTCATTATCAGTTGGGAAATTCACTGGATTTGAGACAAATACACCAGTTACTGCAGAAAAAGACAGCCTTAAGTGTCTTTTTACTCAATTCTCAAAACATCCCTCCATGCCCTACTGGAGAGACCTGGTTAATCATTTGCCAAGTCTTGTCACAGTTGGCATTACCTTTCTGCTTCCAATCTTGATGCTGCCCTAGTTGTGGCTCCTGAATGCGTCTCATCTCCATCTGTTTCATCACCACTTCCTTTCTTCTTGATGTCATCCTGGCCCTTAGCGCTTTCTTCAGAGACTGATATGAGCTTCTGACGTTTTTTAGATGAATCAGATGTGTTTGTTCCTGCAAATTTTAATGACAGTATCAAAGATCCACTCAAGCCTCAGAAAAAGATAGATTTTTTTTTAAAGAAAGAGCATTCCATATAGAATACTCTTACAGAACCTTGTAAATGGAAAATGTAATTTTCCATCCCTTTATGTTTTAATTCATATTTGTTTAAATCTCTTTAAACACATTTGTGATAGTTTACTTTTTTCTTTCACAGACAAAATTCATAGAGAACTCAAGCGGAACCAAGCAGCTGGGCTGTACTAATCCTGACATAAAATTACAGAGATTTGCACATTTTTCTATAATATTTACTTTAGCTTCAGCCCAATGATTTTTTTCCCAGGGTATAAAGCTGATCTCTTTACAAGTTAATAGACAACTTAAAAAAATTAAAAGTTAAGAGAAGAAGAGGAGTCTTTGTCTACCTGTTTCCTCTGATGAAAGACAAGCCCGTTTCCGTTTTCTTCCTCTTAACCACACCTTGCTCTTCTCTTTTTCAGTTTTCTAACAATTGGAAATAAAAACAAAAACAAAACAACAATACAGTTCCACTACAACCAAAAGGTCTTGTAATTCTGTAAAGATATTTTAGATTTGAGTTGGAAAAAGCATGAATCAAAAATTATTCAACTTACATTGCTTCTATTGTTCAAAGAATCATTGGCTGTAAAAAGAAACAAATAATTAAGAATGTACTTTTATCGATATTAAAATTAGCCAAAAATGTTACTTAGTCATTTAATTAAAAATATCTTTCCTTGCATACAGTTCCTTCTAAACTTACAATGTACTAAATGCAAATGTAAATTGTGACAGGGATGATAGACAATAGTAAAATAGAATGACCTAATCCTCCTTGAAAATTAGAATTGTATATAATTCTATGAGGCTAGATGTTAAGAGCCAGTTATCAAATGAAAAGATTAGATGCTGGTAACCCTGCTTCTCTAGCCACTGCAGTTAAACGTCAGCTCCCTTGATAGCAAGACTCTACAAGCTGACTTGACATAGGGGTGGGAAGGCTGTCCTCTTGGAAATGTACATTCTAGGAAAGAGGGGTGGGTGGGAGTCAATTATATTTCACTACTCTTTTATTGGATCTTTTTGGTTTTATGGAAGTTCAAAGTTTTAATTATTTCATTATTGAATTCTGCACTTTTCTAACTGTGTGATCCCATGGGCAGTATGGAAGGAAGTTATGCCATTAGGTTCCCTAGCTGTGCCCTGCTGACAGATATCAATTTATTAGGCCACTGAAACCACAGATTTTACCAAATTTGAGAAAGGGATTGCATACATTTTAGAACTACCCTGGATCTCTGAACAAGAAAACTTCATAATTATGATAGCCAAATTGATGGAGTATCAAGTCTTTATTTAAAAGGAGAAAAAAAGCCTGTTGCATTTCATGCCATATATTTTTCACATTAAGAACATATGTCTGAATCCTTACCTTCTGGTATTATCCCTGTTCTACTGCTAGTGCCTGAAGACTGCAGTACCTAATTAAGAACAAAACCAGCAGTATTCTCAGTAGAAAAATCAAACATACTAAGTGTGTTTAAATGCTCTTTCAAGCTTTTATTTATATTTAAACCAATTCATGATATCCTGTCCTCTCAGAAGTTATTTAAATACTGAGAAGTAGCCCAATTACTACAATTAGTGTAGACCCAAAGTAATGTAATATGCAATACTCTGGGGTTCCCCAAAAATAAGACCTCCCCAGATAATAAGCCCAATCCGGCTTTTGAGCTCATGCGCTAAAATAATCCCTCCTCCAAAAATAACTGCTTCCTGAAAATATTGCAACACAGTAGCAGTCATGAGGTGACCACGCTTGCCACCTCCGGCACCTCAAAAATAATAAGACCTCCCCAAAAATAAGGCCAAATGTTACTTCAGGGGTCAAAAGAAAATAAGACCCTGTCTTATTTTCGGGGAAACACGGCACTTTTTACAACCCATGAAAAAAGCTGGGTTTTTCAAAGAAACTTCTATCCATAGTGGATCATGATCGTATAGTGAGTTTATCAGTATCATAAATACACACACACATACACTTTTGAATGTTTTTGTCATGGCTTACATTTTAGAATATACTGTAAAACATATTTTATACACAGAAAAGCTCATTGGTCAGAATATTAAAAACTACAATCAATGTTGACATTTTTGATAGTTTCATATAGGTAATACTTGAGTTATGAATGTAATGGAGCCTGCCCATTACATGCCCAAATGAGATATCTCAGGGTAGGGAAGGCCGGGTGGGGGGGGGGGGTCGGCTAGCGATGGAAAAGGCTACTTGCTTCAGATCCCCCAAGGCGTCACCCAAACCCCTGAGATACCTTATGCTCCCTCCCCTGGGCTCCCCACAATTGCTCCCCCCACATCCTGCCGTGCCAGGTCACTTACCTGGTGAAGATGTAGCAAGCTGTCTCCTCTCCAGCCTTTCTGCTGGGGTTTCTTTGCCTGTTTGCAGTCTTGGCGCAAAAAGCATTTGCAAGCTGATGAGACATTGGGCCAGTGAAATCGCATTTCTTTCAACCCTCCCATCAGTTTGCAAACTCTTTTTGCGCCAAGACAGGGAGCTTGTCACGGCCTTGATCCCACGCTACTTTAGGCCTCTGTTCTCCACGAATGCACCGAAACAGACAAAGGAACTGGCAGCTTGCTAGATCGCTGCAAGGTAAGTGAATCTCCGCAGGCCCCATGACGGTAGAGACCCAGGGCTGGGATTGGGGGAATAGGCAGGGTAAATGTTGCAATGCCTCTGCAATTGTTCGTGAGTGTAAACAACTACTGTGGTGCTGCAACATTCCTAACTTTGGGCTGTGTCATAAATTGTTGTAAATACTTGGGAGGGTGTTATGTCATAATATAGAATGGTTGCTACGTGAACTGTCGTAAATTGAGAATTACCTGTATATGAAGCAAAATGCAGTACAGTAAAGCATAGAGGCAAAGATTAAATGACAGGAAGCTGGCAGATTACACTGTATAGCCATGGTAGCACAGTTAGAATGCAGTACTGTAGGATTAATTCACTGCTCACTCCAGGAGTTCGATTCTGATCAGCTCAAAGTTGACTAACCTTCCATACTTCCGAGGTCAGTAAAATGACCCAGATTGTTGGGGGCAATATGCAGACTCTGTCAACTACTTATAGAAGGCTGTAAAGCACTGTGAAGTTTAAGTGGTATTGCTTTAGGGATAATCCTATCCAGTGGTGGGGCTCAGATAATTCAGGGGTGTCCAGGACAGATCTGGCCCATGGGATGCTTAGATATTGTTGTGGCCCAGCAGGTGCCGTTGGAGCTGCCACCAGACTCCGACAGCGAGGGGCCCTTTGAGTTGGCTCTGGAGGACCCTGGACGGGGTTCCGACTCCGAGCAGGACGCAGAGAGGCTGGTTGGCCACCAGGAGGCACCTGACCCTTGGACCAGTGGGGAGGAGACAAGGGAGAATGAGCCGGAGGCCAATAGTGAGTTGTTCCTGGATGCACGCCATCGAAGAGCTACTAGGCGTCAGGAACAATTACGCAATTACA